ACAATGCTTTCGAGAAGGTCGAGAACACATTGAAGATGGCATAAAATCTGTCATAACCCCGAGTTAATAAATGGTAAAATCCTTGCGGAAAGGTCGAGAAAGCGTTAAAAATAAATTAAACCCTTTTTACTTTACCTTTACTTTATAATACTTTATATATGTCATATTCTTGAACTTATGAATGGTAAGATTTTCCCAGGAAGGTCAAGAAAACATTGAACATTCATCTATAATAAAACATAAGAAAAAAATGTTCAGATTGTACTTGCATATTGAAAAATGACCAGTAAATAGTTTACTGAAGAAACGAGTGGCACTACCATAAGTAATTAAACTTTTTGCCTATCCAATAGTTCTTGGTAAAACCTTACAACACTGTAATGCGGCAATCACGCTATGCTTTTGATATAGTAGGGTAGGCTGGAGTGAAGACCTTGTATCGAAGAAAGCTTACTCAAGCTCAAATTATGACCCATTGTAGCTCATATGATATGACAGTCTATGTTTATTTTTCTATTTTATATTCTATTTGTATAGTCTAAAACCTGTTTACCACTAAATATAATAAAATCGGTTATATTTTATTTTGACTATCAATTAACTACATATATTGGAATTCTAACTGCCTTGAACACAATAACGCTCTAGAACTACTGTGTATAATGATTTGCTTACAGAATACCTAGTTGAGGGTTAAGAAATCCAAATGATTATTATCGAGCGTATCCGTCTGAATAAGAGGGAGAAGCAGAAGTGAAAATGAGAAAGGCGATAGAGATCCTACGCCCAGGCAGCTGGGATGGGTCTCAATATGGGTATTATTTAACTGACTACGTACATATATTGGAATTTTGACTGTCCTGAACACAATAACGCTCTAGAACTACTGTGTATAATAGTGATTTGCTTACAGAATAGTTGAGGGTTGAGAAATCCAAATGATTATTACAGAACTCACTTAAACTAACACTTAAATCATCAATCAAAAGTGTTACTCTATTAACTGCTCTGGATCCGCTTAACATATTAATTAACATAATTTATTTGTGATCTAATCATTTAATGTATATATTTAAGGTGCTTTTCGAATGTGTCATATTCTCATTTTAGTTGGATATTTATTATGAAATATTATAAAATGAAACTATTCTGTTTACCTGTGGCTTACCCTTCTAGCTTTGTGGATATCTGAGAAGCTAAGTTACGTTTCATTATAGGTAAAATTCATTAAACATGCTGTTTGAATTACTCTATAAATAGATTTATATGAATATATGTACACTCGTCTGTGTAAAATTAAACCATTTATCTTGGTGTACACACTCTACTTGATTGAATTGACTACTTTATCTGTATTAAATTACGTATTTAAATTGATTTTTCATTATTACAAGTCCAAAACAACATCATTTACTTTACGTCAGACGTTAATTTGATTGATTGATCAATTTAATTGCTTTCTTTTCTATTTCTAATCTTTTTCTTTTTGGTTTATGTATCTATTATGACTAACATTTTTTCCTTGGTGTATGCAAACATGAGCATTAAATTTTATTTAAGTTAAAATAGATAAGAAAAAAATCTTTAAAATATTTATCACGTATGAAGTAAATATTTAAATAATTTGTGTTATTGACTTTATTTATTTATGTGACGCACATGTTGATTTTATTTAGTTTAATTTAGTAATTGTTTAGCTTTCGAATATTAAAAAAATATAAAAACTAGAAAAAATGCGATATAAAAACTTCTGAGATTTTTTTATTTTTTACTGTTATGACTCGGAAGAATTTCATCGCATTTGCATTTTGCAAAATAATTCAAAATATATAATCACGTCCCAGACCAGTTTTATTTAATATTATTTACTTTGTGCCGCATTTGAATTATCACAGAAAAACGTAGAACTTCTCTGGCAAGAGATAACCTCTCAGGTCAAGTACTTCATTGTTTCAGATTTACAATATGGATTATTTAATAAATTGAGTGAATGAACTTTATTGTTAAGTTATGGAAATTTCTTCAAATTTATCTTAACTACTTTATTAATAAAATAATTATTTTTAAATTTTTATAAACTTATCAGAGCAGCTATTACATATATCTTTAATTTTTATATATAATATAAGCAAGATTTTATATAATTTTGATAATAATGAAAATCTTGCTTGCTTTTCTTCATACAACTGCTAATTCTGCGAATATTATATATATATATATATATAATGTATTGTATAATGCAGAAAAACTATATTATTAAATTCAATCTGTAAACATTCTTAGCATTACAGATTAGAAAAAAAAATTAATCTGTGATTTATAATTCAATTTGAATATATGCTTGCACATTAGAATACCTTGTTGTTATAACAAGCATATATATTTCTCTTAACGACCTAACTATGCATATCAGTAACCAGTTCGCATGGGTATCTGAACGCAGGAACATCTCAAGCAACTGCAGTGCAGAAGAAACTACCAAGGCAGGCACTCTGCCCTCTGACTTTAAGTACTACTACTATTATTCACTCCCCCAATGGAGCATAGAGTCTTAATAATTCTTTTTAAACTGACTCTATTTGGTGCTTCTCTATAAATGTCATTCCATGTATATCGTGCTTCAGCTAGCTCACTTTCGACCGTTCTTCTCCATGTTGACCGTTCTGGCGTATTAGGTCTTCTGCTGCCTTGACATTAGTTTTTCAGATATTAGTATTCCACTTGTAATAGCCAAACGGTCTATCAAACAGAAATATCTAAGCAGAGCTAAACGACCCCGACAGAGCTATCATCCTGCAAAACTAGGGACTTGGTTGATAGTTGATAGGGTAGTCAGGCTCCCGTTTCGTTTCGTATGTTGTTTCACTATTCTTAGATAAAGCTGGTTAATATAGGTTTTCCCCGTGTGGTGGCGGGATAAGAATACCACCTCAGTAGATCTCTGCTTGTCGTAAAAGGCGACTAAAAGAGAAAACGCACAGGTCAAAGTAAAGTATTTACGAATCCTGGTAAGTCGTGAGGGCGCACAGGTCGAAGTAGCTTGCTACGATTCCTGATAAGTCGATCCCTATGCTAGCAGACTAAGTCTATACTCCAGGGAGTTAGGCGGGTGTCTACGCACATCTGCTAAGTTGACCAGCCTTCGGGAAGTGCGACTATCCATCAGGTCAACTGTTAAGTGATAAGTACGGTCATGTCTCTGTTTATCGTTTGACGCAGATAGTCGTGCGGGGGTGAAGGAAAACACCCTTTTAGTGAATGATTACAGGGAATGAATGTGTAAATAGGTGAAATGTGTCTATCAGAAATTAAACCCCTCAAACTAAGGTGGAACAGCTACGCCTTTAGCTTGGCTGCTGGGGTAGAAGCAATCTTAGTAGCGAACTCGGGATACCTGGCGACCTCCTGTTTAAAACAGCCTTACCTGTGCAATGCGAAGCTCTCCGCAGGTGGACATATTTCTCTTCGCAACTCGTGGGAACAAAATTAACTCTAATGAAATTTTAATAAACTTTAAACAAGACAAAGTGGTTGACACTGATAAGGTGGACAATGAGGCCTCAAAGGCCGAGCTGATAACCTTAGCTTTAAATACCACGACACATCACAGTCATGTTACCAATGAAATGGTGGACGAAGAAGCCCCGCAAAAGGCTGAGCCGTTAACCACAACAGTTGGAAACGTGACAATGACTGATCTCGACTTAGCTGAGCGTATCCGTCTGAATAAGAGGGAGAAGCAGAAGCGAAAAAGAGAAAGACGAAAGAGGTCCTACGCCCAGGTAGCTGGGATGGATCTCAATATGGGTGTCATCGATTCAAGAGTCGAAGGACCTCTTGGCGAAAAACACTTAGTTGCTTTCAAAGCATCTTTGTTGAACGCCGTGGACTCCCTAGATAATGAAACAGGTGACATAGGGTTTATTGGCAACGCTCGCCTTAAGAATGGTTACATTACCATTAAATGTAAAAACCAACAATCCAAGGCATGGCTAATCAGCACGGTAACTAAGCTGGAAGGCCTTTGGCCAGAAGCTAAGCTTACGGCTGATACGCTAACATCGTTGCTCAACGAGAAGAGAATATTGATCTTTGTCTACGACTCTACCGTAGGCAAAGAAAGTATTCTCAGCAGGCTGCAGAAGCAAAACAGCTGTATTAAAGATACTTCGAAATGGAGGATCATTAACTCCAGCAAGTTTGGTGATGCAAGTAATGCTGGCGTCATGCTCACAGTGTGGTGCCCTAAAGAAGACGCTGAGGCGATTAAGACCGCAGGAGCCATGCTCAACTGTGGTCTAGATCAGGCCGAAGTGAAGTTCTGAAGGGATACACGGTGGACATGAAGACGCTTCTGGTATGGGACTAATGGATCTGTGTAGTCCGTTAGGGCGGTGGGCGGGCCCATACCAGAAAACATTAAAGGTTTTACAACTGAATATTCATCACACCAAGAGCCCTGGATTGTTCAAAACCTAATAAAGGGACTTGCTGCCACGCTATTTCTTCCACATACAGTTGGAAAAATAATGACACGCATAATGGTAAGAAAGAGGATAGACTGCATTCAATTGCCTCATCTATGCAAACCAGATCTTAGTATGGTAAGAGAAGGTAGCATCGACCTATATGCCATACGACTCTATTGAACTATATCCCAGTCAGGAGGTAATCAGACTGATGGAGTATTGCAGAACGAAAAGGTTAAAAATCGTCATGGGATGCGATGCGAACGGACACACATTGTGTGAGGTAGCAGCGATAATTCAAATTTAACTTTAGCTTTAACTCCATAACGACATCCGAGAATCGATGTCGAAAAAGACCCAAGTCGCTTCGATGGTGTTATTCTGCTAAAAATTAAATTACGAAATGGTGTTTTAAAAATTAATACTTAAGTATTATCTAATCTATTACTCATTATATATATAATGTAATAATAATAATGTAATAATATTTGTGGTCTTCTTAAATTAATGAACTCGGTTTTTGTTTTGTAGATATTAAACATGGAAGATGACTCAAATTGGTACCGCGCTGAATTAGATGGCAAGGAAGGCCTTATCCCTAGTAATTATATAGAAATGAAAAATCATGAGTAAGTTCAAATATAAAATATATAATTATTACTCATTTTAATGAGAAATATATTATTACTATTATTGCTTGGTTATATTTTAATCTCATCCACTTTATGATTTATTAATAATAATTAAATATAACTAAACAATAATAATATCAATAATTGCTATAATATTTAAAAGAAATGAAATGCTAACTCATGTTTTATTTAACAGCTGGTACTATGGTAGAATAACACGTGCTGATGCGGAAAAACTCCTCTCCAACAAACATGAAGGTGCATTTTTAATTCGTATAAGTGAATCAAGTCCTGGTGATTTTTCATTATCTGTCAAGTAAGTTTATTAATATGTTATATATTCTTCTCTTACACGAGTACATAATTATTTTCGAAATTGTTAATTATTTATTCCACTTTATAGATGTCCTGACGGTGTTCAGCATTTTAAAGTTTTACGTGACGCACAGGGTAAATTCTTCCTTTGGGTGGTTAAGTTTAATTCCTTAAATGAATTAGTTGAATATCATCGAACGGCAAGCGTATCGCGATCACAAGATGTTAAATTAAGAGATATGATACCAGAGGAGGTAATTATATTAAGTATATAGAATAATAATTTTGGGTGTATGTACATTAAGATGGTACATACCATAAATTCCAGGAACTGGTTCTGAAAATTGAAAACACAAGTTTATTCTTGATAATCGTTTAAGAATATGTTGTCCCACACTTTGTAAGGATGTCATATCATTGTGTCTCGCAGAGTTGCGGGATCCATATTTGAGCTACAAAGGTCGCAATAGGATGTCCTATTGTTTTGTATGTTCTCAATAAGGTTTCTGTCTATACCCTATGAGCAACCAAAAGAACGGTCATTGGTCGTCTGTACCTCCGCACGGGGAGGTACGCAGATCTTAGCTCAATCACTGAATAATCATGAAGCTTATAGGCAATACATAAATTAGTCAATGAGATAAGTGGGACCCTATAGTACTCCCAGCTATCAAAGAGTAAAAGTGCCCAGTTGCGCTGACTCGAAAAAAAAAGGATCAACATACAAGATGGTGAGATCTTTCCACCTGGGCCTACACTCAGTTTAATGTTTTTCAGCAACCCTATTTTGAAAAATGCTCAGACTAAAACTTAATTTTATAGGCACTATTTCTTGGTAAAATTTACTCTCAGTACACCATTGAATTGTGTATATATATATTATTTTTTATATTTTATATTTTTTATATTTAACATTCTTTTAAAAAAATAATGTCCTATTAGGATATAAAAAATTTCTAATGTCTTGCTCTGTTTTGTTACCAACTAACATACTTTTATCAACATTTACAGATGCTCGTACAAGCATTATATGATTTTGTGCCACAAGAATCCGGCGAATTGGACTTTAGACGCGGCGATGTCATCACCGTCACAGATCGTTCTGACGAGAATTGGTGGAATGGCGAGATTGGCAATCGAAAAGGCATATTCCCAGCAACCTATGTAACGCCATATCATTCATAATAAACTTCAGTGGGGGGATAACGATATTATATCAACAACTAAACAAAAACAACACAAATTTAAATACACACAAAATGCGTTTATATACAATACAACTACACATACAACACATCCACACACAAACTCACCATTATTGCCACCAACACCAACTACGTAAAAATTCAAAAAAAGAGAAAGAAACCAATTTGATTATGTTGGCGAGATAGAAAGAACAACAATGAATGCAAAAACAAAATCAAATAACTTTTAAATGCATTTTAACGTTTTGCAACTAAATTTAAAATTATATGTATAATTACTATTAATTAAAAAAAAAACAAAAAAACAATGTTTACTTTAATACAAAACACATGATTAATAATTAAAAATTATAAAAATATATTTTTAATATTTTAAAAATTTTTTACATATTTTTTGTGTTTGCTAATTAATAATTATTAAACAATGTCAAAATAAAATTTATAATTTTTTCTTTTCATATAAAAGAGAGATTTTTTTTAATATTGAAGAACTAAACATAAATTTTGTAATAATTAATTAAGAAAACAAAAAAAAAAAATATTGTAATAATTTTATACGTTTAACCCTAACATATGAAAAAGAAATCAGCAACTAATTTACACACATACAATATATATATATAGTATTTAAAATAATTATAAAAATATTTAAAATAATTAAAACTATTGTAGTTTTTAAAGTGTAAAACCTTTTTGTGGGTCTAAATATAGTTTGTCTCAGAAAGGTGTTTACAATACAAATTTGGTTTAAATATTGAAGATAAGATGATCACTTAATTTTTGACCACTTTATTTGATTTTAATTCATATAACTTTTCTAAGACAAACTATATACATTTAAAATTGACATACTAGTTTTTATATACATATTTTATTTTATAAAAATGCAAATAGTTTATAAAATAGAAATAAATGTAAACTTATGAGTGGCCATACACTAAGCTGGATGGAGGATTAGTAGATTTGTTCAAGTTGCAGTGCAGTAAAGTTAAACGTCATTGCCAATGAAATATATAACGATGCTTCCTTGCTAGCCACAATTAATATACAGGATATTATTTATAAATTTCTGTTTAAAATATTATTAATACTTTTCGTTTGTTTAAAGCATGTTATGTGTACTGAAGACGCTATTTTCTTAATTTTCGTAAATATATAATATATAAGATTTATAAAAATTTAAATTATAATTGTTAAGAAACAATAATAGAAAAAAATGTCATAAATGATTTTGAACTGTTAAAAATTTTTAAATTTTATTTAATGTTTAATTAAATATTTAGAAGCGTACAAATTTAAAAAATGTGTCAAATAAATTAAGAACATAAATTTGCATATTTTAAATCTAATTTGTTAATTAAGTTCGCCTATATACTACTAATATAAAAAGAATATAATTTTAAAATTAATAAATAAATACTATTAACAAAATCTTTATAAAATTAAGCTTTTTAAATTATAAGTTAATACATTGAATATTATTTATATTGTTTGAAGCTTCGCGCAATTTTCAAGTCCAAATGTAATATGTTAATGCTCGTGCATCTTGTTCGAGAACAGTGCACCAATCGAAGATGTTCGAACACTATATTGTGTTAAAGCAGTTTTTATCATACGTTTATTTTCGAACATTTGAAGTGTTTAATCCAAATATTCGAAATTGTGTATTTTCAAACTGTGCGAATATCGTAATATTCGTACACAATTATATTACAATGCCTTGAAACACTATTATATATTAAAAAATAAATATAAAAAATAACTTTATTTAATAATTAAAATTATGCTAAATTTTATTTAAAATAAATTGTCAAAGTTAATATATTTTTAAAATTTGTTTATTTCAATTTTTAATCGATTAATTTACTTAACATTAAGAATTTAGCGCTTTCACTACACATTCTATAATTTCAATTTTGTGAATATATTATAAATATATACAAATACATATATTTATAATCAAAACTTTAAGACACGAACACTGCAAAATATCGTAAAATCATTCAAATAAAACTTAAAAGTAAAATCTAAAAAAAAAATTAATAATAAATTGACAAACGCAATTTTTATAGTGTATTGAAAAATCATTTAAAATAACTAAATTAAACAGTAAATATTTATAGAGCTTATTTGCTAATAAATTTTTACCGTGTTAATTCAAATATATTATATATTTTATTACGTTTATTAGTTATATTTTAATTTTATATATAAAATATTGTTTTTTTTTCTTGCTCTTATGTTTATGATTAAATAAAAGAAAATTTTTTAAATATATATATTATGTTATAATGTAAAGTTAATTCGATGTACATTTTAAGCAAATTTTTGTGCTATTTTTTAATATTATTTTTATGTTTTCATATATATTTTATGTTTAATTATAATTAATAATAAATCATATAATTTAAAGACGAATTATGAAACGAACTGCAATTAACATAAAAGCAACAAATTCAATATCTGCACAATTTTTTTCCTATAATTCATATTTAATTTTTTTTTTAATTTTATTCGATTTTTATTTTATATATATATATACTAAGTAAATAAATATGTAATAAAAAATAAAAAGAAATTTTTATAATTTGCATAAAATTGATATGTTTATATATTGCCTTGATATAAAAAATAATTATAATTACAATAAATTTTTTTCAAATAAAATATTTAATATTTTAAAAAATATTGTTTCTTTTATAAAAATTCTGTGATTCTGAGACGAGTAATTCTAGTGATTGTACTCGAAATGTACACTAATACGAATTCGTACTTATAAGATCAGATTTCTTAGAGCATGAGAACTATAATGTACCGTCTCATATCCGAAACAACCCTTCTTCCCCGTGCCCTATCTTCACCCACTTACATCCTAACACCCATGTATTCGTATTGTAAGCCCATTCATGTTTTCATTATATAGATCTGCACAGGCTGTAAAAACCACAAATCCATATTATGAGAAGAGCTAAAAATATTTACAGGTACTTAAAAAAAGTATGTCCTCTAGCACCGCATATGAGCACGATTCTTGGGGCCAAAAAAAACAGCACCTAGAAAATAAGACAAAATAGCTCGGAAGAGGAGAGGCCGGGATTGTAAAGGATTATTCCACCAGCTTGGACAGTATAATACATAATTTAAAATTTTTGTGAACGGCTATAATAATGTCCGAAAAAAATTACTCTTTAGTATATCTGTCTTTAATATATCTGTATATCTTGGCATAACACTGGCTACAGCATTGATGCTTATGGTACCATTTTTAAAATATATAATAGAGAATTTTGTTCAGCACCTCGTGCACCTGAAATCTTATGCTTTCTTATTTAATCCGCTAAAATCTGTTGAACTACATCTCAAAGCAATAGTCAGAAATGTAATTCGAGAATGGAGGAGGAGATGTTTTGACACGAACTGTTTATCTTATGATAAAAATTTATATTATTTCTTGTATATTATTAAATAAGGATGTATATTTTAACTTATTTAAATTTACATTTGTACAAATATAGTTATTCAATTTACTTCATAGGCAGGATTCAGTCACCTGAAATCCGCTCCTCCTATGTCCCATAAAAAACACATCTCCTTTTATCTATAATTGTAAATACTATATAAAATTCACGTTTTGATTCAAGCATTCGCCCACTCAAAATCTGAAAACAAAATTATCCAATTTCGGTTATCTAATACATTCCTTTGGCTATTATTTTTATTTAATTTAACAAAAAGAATCTATTACATATGCTCATATTATCTATATAGCTAAGATCGTGGTTTTATATTCAAATCGAACTCGTTATCACAATACTCAATATATTTTTACTTATAATTTTTATTGTGTTACGAATTAACGAATATTGAGTTACCGAGGTGTTAGATGTGATGAAATGTTTTAACATTTAGAGATAAATAACTGTAGAAGTACCCCAATACCACCTATAGATCAATTTGCAATTATAGACACATCAACATATTTTTGTATAGATTTTGTAATAAGAATGACACTCACAACCGATTAAACAATCGTAACTTAAGTTTCAGCACTAACTTAAGTTATCCTTAAGTTATTAACTAACTTAAGTCATCTTAAGTCATCAACTAACTTAATTCTTACTAAGGTCAGTTTTGAAACGTAAATTTCGACCATGAAATGCAATCTTGTTACTACACATATATCTAAAATTGTAATAGAACACATGAAGTTCCATGGTTAATAATTTGACCGAGTTCTGCAGAAATCATCATATATTGTTATTTATCAATATATACAAATATAAACGTATAGAAAATAAATCTAAAAACAAAAGTTTAATTAATTGTTTATGTCTTCACCAAAAAAATTTCACATCGACAAATACTATGATCCTCGCAACTCATCGAAAGAGACCGCGTAACACTACAAGGCTTACTGCAGTTTTTTCTGATCATTAGTGTATAGGAACCCATGCAGAGAAACTGTGCACTTTTCATAATTCTCACTGCAGAAGTTGTGGAAACTCAGAGGAAAAAGGAACCTTAACCTATATCTTTTGACGTCCAAAAGATATAGGTTCTTAGGCAGATAGTTCTTTGATAGTTTATCAGACTGTTCATTGCTGAAGACGAAAGACCTGTTAAATTATCTAAATTCGGCGGAATGGATTTAGCCTCTACTCTTCTATACTAGGGTTCTTGCAAAACGGCCAAAAATCGCTAATTGAGGTACATGTAAGTTATTTAATAGCCTGCCATTGCAAACAACCAATCAATACTGTGTTTTTACTTACACTTATTAAACCTCTTTAATATATTTTTACGAATTTTGTAATTAAAATGGCAAATAGTGCTGGATATTTATCAAGTTAAGTACAATAGTCCATTTTTTACATTAATACTGGATTCATAAGAGAGGGTTTTTTTTCTTTAATATTTAATCGACTTAAAGATGCGTTCTACTTCTAATTGTACTTCATATTATCTATAAAAATATTATTCGTTAATGGAGAGATTTTATTTAAAAGTTTTTTTTTGGCAATCAATTGGTTGCACTTTGTTAAATAAATTCCTAATAACATTTTTGATTATGGAACCCAACAAACATACAAGTGTAATACTTGCTACTAACCCCTAGAACTCTTTTTTTCAATAATTAAAATTATTAAAAACCAAAAATTAAAAATAAATAAAAAATTCTCTGCATAATGTGTAGTCAACACTTTATTCAAAAAACACAAATATTTGATCTACTACAATATTACATTATTTTACACGGAGTTGACAAC